TAACTGCCTGTGAGTGGTCCTAGAAGATATAAATAGGAAGTTTATTCTACTCCATTTAGGATGGGTTACACACCTATCTAACACTTCTCTGAACATAATTTGGGCTTGTGCATGATGTTCCACTATCTTTTAAATTGGATCCACACAAACTATAAAAAAAATTCTAAATTTGTCTCCTTCCTCTTACCCTATACTGTGGTAAGAAGATAGCAGCACAGAGGACCGTGGACAGTTATAGCAAAGTGGTTAAGGACTTGCAGTTTAGAATCAAATGGTTCTTACTTCAAATCCCAACTCTGCCACCAATGAATCAGGTGACCTTGGAAAAGTTACTTAATTTCCATTGAATATCCTCTTTACTGGGGCACAATAATTTAAAATTTTCCCTCATGCATGGAGGTGACTGAAAAAAAAGGCAGCCCACTCCCTGTTGGTAAGTGGCAGTTTCGATAACCAAGGAAATTTATATAGAGGCTTTGTGTTGGGCAGCCACAAGACAAGAGCGTTCCTTCCCCCAACATTAATTTCAAAAGCTTGAATTTTGCTGGGCTTAATCATGTGCACTATTCAGAGCATATTAGTAATATATTTTATCTCAGTTTCTGGGGGTGGGGACAGCAACTGGAACCCACATTCTCAAGGGGTAGGGGTTGTTGAGGACCTTCTAATTGCCCAGGTACAGCTCCCAGGTCAGTAGGTAGTCACATTTTTTCGACCACCTCTCCAACCCTCCTGTGTAAAATAGGGGTAACAGTATCTATGGCACAGGATTATACTGTGGATGAAATAATACAATGTATGTATATGAATGAATCTCATGACACTGAAGAAAATGCCATACAAGATATACTTGAAGACATTGCTTGCCCGAGGTAAAACATTTATCTGGAATTTTACTGAAACATTCAAGTTATTTAGAAATCATTCCTAAAACTGTTTGTTTCCCATATACTTTTACCCAAACACTACACCTCTATTGTATGGCACTCCCTTCAGATGGCCAATATCTTGAGGGGTTCCTGAATTTAACCCTCTGTGTTCCTCTCAGCCCATACATATTCCCAGGTCACGTGGAGGTAAAGAGAACCAAGTTATAATGTCATGTTTCACCAGTGGTGGCTGCTGTTTGACATTGTCCTACAATGTAAGGTATTTCATCACTCAAGCTCTGAGTGTCCAAGAAATCAATTTTTATACATTTTATAAACAAATGTGTGTGTGTGTGTGTACACACATACCTTGAAAGCTGTCTTGTAGCATGGGTCTTGCCATATTCCACCAGAGAGGAAGAGATTTGGGAACACTTAACAATCCAAATGGCACTACACAGGACTCAGAGGAAGGTATGCTTTCCTAAGCAGCACAGACTGTGGTGTGTTTCCTTTCCGTTGTTGTGACAATCAACTGCATACTAATTATAATCTGGGGTTTGTAAACAGCCAGAAGATTCCCTGGGTGGGAGTAATTATATTCCCTTTAACATACTATAAGGCAAATACTTTCTCTTAAATATGCTGTGTGCTGATAGCAAAGTAGATTTACTTTCAGCTACAGGAGGAAAACCCTTAGAACGAAGGCAAGGGAGGTTAGTGGGGCAGAAATACTAGAAACCAATAAAAGAATAGAAGATATAAAAACTGGCATGTAATATTATCAGTGACAGACAGACTACTTTGACATACATACATACATAGTGAGATGTTACAATTATTGATTTGGAGTCAGTTTTATATCTCCCTATGATTACTGTGTTCCTTTGAGAACGGTAATTCACTGTTAAGACTCAGTTTCCTCTTCCGTAATGTGTGACTGAGAAGGCTTCCCAATAAAGTTATTTGAGAATCAAATTACAAAACATACCTAAAGCTTCTAGAACAGTAGTCACTTGCAAAACTATAACAAATACTGCAGCTATTATTAGTATGAGTACCAAACTCATATTCCCTTGCAACTAACTCTCCCTTCCCTTTGCAAGATGATGGCTTCCAAAATTCTCTCCCTAAGGATTCTCTCAGTCCAGGCACATGGGACCGACAACTGCCAGGGAATCAACGGAGCATTAACACTTCCCGGAACAGTCCTTAATTGACCATACAGAGTCCCTAGTGAAAATATCCACTGCCTCATGCCTTGAGTGGCACAACTTGGAGGTTTGATTCACGTTGCCTCTCAAGGGTCCCCTGTGAATTGGAGCCCCATATGCCCCCTGTGGTAATCCACTACGAGTGCACCTTGTATTGGCTTCTATCTCTTCCCTGTCTCACCTTCCCGCTTCTTGATGGAGAGACCAGGGATAACTCCAAAATAAACCACTGGCACTCATATTCTTGTTTTAGGATAGGATCCAGCCTAAACACTGTATCTCACCTTGCAGACAGGATGAATAACTTGGACAATTGGGTTTACAATAAAATTCTCTAACCAAACCTTGTCTGTTCCACTTTCTTTCAAATGCTTCTCCCCATCCCATGGCCACAGCTTCAGTTGAAACTCTTCTCATTTATTTATATTTTTGTTCACGCCATACTCTCTACCTAGCCCCATGCTTCCAGAAACTCTACCATCTAATCCATCACCCACTCACTGCCAAAGTTATTATCTTGAAATGCGGTTCTGGTGATGCCATTCTTATTTTTCAAGACTGTAAGGGTGTCCAGTGGCCTCCACAATTATGTTTTAAAGTTTAAAACATGAGAGTTAAGGGCCCTAAAACATTGATTCTGACCACCTTTCAGCCTAGTTTCCAGTGATAGCTGAACACACAGAACACCTCCAACACATGAAACAACTCAGTGTCTTCTCAGATCCCTCCCCTGGCACCCTTCTGTGTGTTTTAGCATGCTTGTGAACATCCCCTACTGAAGATGATGCCTCCTCCCAAAAAGGTCTGGCTCGGCTGGCTCTGTCTTCCTCCATGATGGCTTCCTGATGCCGCTGATAAGGTAATGTTCCCCTCCTCCCGGGTTGCCCAACAGTATGTGCATTTCTGCATTCACTAACTCCTTCCTTCATTTGACAAGCATTTTTTCTCTGAACATATTCTATAATGTATCAATCATGCATAAAACCTTGGGAAGCCCATGCTAGATAAAAGCAGAAATAGCTTCTGCCCAAAGGCATTCACAGTTGGAAAAAGGGAACAGACCCAGGTAATCATAAAAAAAGTTTGTTACAAACCACCAGACTGTTTACAAGAATGCCCACTCAACTTGGGAGTTGGAGAGTTGTGCAAGGAACAGGGAGGGGAGTTGAGAGCTGCAATTCACACCAGGTGAAGAAGGTGGAAGATAAACTCCAGTACCAGGGACTCAGGGGAGGGGGGACTGACAACATGCATTGTATCATGTCTTTTTGCTGGTTGTGACCTCTCTGTCTCATGGCCTGAGAATGAGGTCTTCAAGGATAAGGACCATGTCCCACTGACAGTCACATCCACTTCAGTGCACAGCACCACTCAAATACACAGAATTAATGTACCCATTTTACAGATGAGGGAGTTGTGGATGAGAAAGCTTAAATGAGTTGGCCAAGACCCCAAGCCTGGCAGTGATTGTATTTAATTTAAATATAAGACATTATGTACACATTTAAGGTCAATTTTTTTTTTAAATAAGCAGGATTCACTTTCACTACTCACATCGCTCTCTCTATAAATATTTTAGTTTATTTGAAAGTTTTATAAACAGTACATTTAAAAAATTTATATATGCAGGGTTTTTTTTTTCACATTCTTGTTCCTCTCAGGTATAATCCTCATAGAATTCCCACCACCAAGTTACCCATGCACAATCACCACAGTCTCCTGTGCTCTTCCTGGCCCTGTTCTGATCCCTCTCCCTCCTCTTCCCCTCTCACTGTCTCCGATTTATTTCTTGCCTGATAGGTTTTAGTTTTGTTTTTTCCTGATCCCTTGTTTAGTTCCCCTGTATTCCCCCTCTAAGTGAAACCATCCGATATGTTTCTTTTTCCTTCTGACTTATTCATTGAGCATAATCCCTTCTAGCTCCATCCATATTTCTGCAAGTGGCATGAGTTTATCTTTTTGACTGCTGAATAGTATTCCATTGTATATATATATATATATATATATATATATATATATATGCCACTTTTTTTTAATCCAGTGATATGTTTTGGGGTATTTAGATCGTTTCCACAGTTTAGCTATTGTAAATACTGCTGCAATAAATATAACAGTGCAGGGTTCCTTTTGAATTAACGTTTTTGTGTTCTTTGGGTAGATTCTTAGGAGAGGAATTGCTGGATCATATGGTAGTTCCATTTTTGAGGGTCTTGAGAACAACCACAACAAAACAAAAAGAGAACCAGTAATGGGGTAGGGGGAGAACTAATTTATACTCCATACTCCATAATTCTTTTGAAGACTCTCTATAACACCCCAAAATGGTACACGCGGTGGGAACCAGCAAGCATAAGAAGTCGGGAGGTGCCAGGTAAAGAACATAAGCGCTGACCCTGGAAGTCCAGGGCGAAAAGATCCTGAGCCTGGACTCTGCAGAGCTGCGAGTGGCATCTGTGATTTCCCGCTCCGGAAACCTCCATTTCAGCCAGGACAGCAGGTTTGGGAAACAGCCGGGTTTCCCATCAATCCTGCCGCCTCCGCAGATGGGTGGGAGAGGAGTCAACCTTTTGGAGGGGAGGCATCTTCCAGGCCCAGACATTCGTCTCTGTCCATTTCAAGGCGCCCAGCCCGCGCCGTATATAACCAAATACTGAGTCCACAGCGAAGGACAAGGCGGCCTTGCTGCGTGGATTATTCACGACTCTCGGGCAAGTCTGGGCCCTGGGGCGGCGATCCAGAGCCTGATTTGAGGCCACCTCAGGAGCTGGAATTCTGCTTGGCAGGGAAGAGCGGTGTGGAGCCAGGAGAGAGGCGCGGGCGTGGGGCGCGGCTCTTGGGAGGATTACGGCGGAGGCTGTGGACCGCGGCTTCGCTCTCAGAGGCTGCAGCCATTGCACAGCCGAGCATCCAACATTCAACAGGAGGAACCCGCGGGAGACGAGCCCCGAACCCCCAGCGCCGCAGCAGCCGCAGCCGGTGCGCCCCGCGCCCCGCGCCCCCGTGCGCCATGGCCAAGGAAGGCGCGGAGAAGGCAGAGGAGACCGAGCAAATGATCGAGAAGGAGGCGTGCAAGGAGCCGGCCGAGGGCGGCGGCGGCTCTCACCGCCTCGGGGACGCCCAGGAGATGCGGACCGTGGTGCTGGCCGGCTTTGGGGGGCTCAACAAGCTGCGGGTCTCCAGGAAGGCCATGCCCGAGCCACAGGACGGCGAACTCAAGATCCGCGTCAAAGCCTGGTGGAGTATCCGCGCCTTTCTGGCTTTCTCTCCTTTGCGCGCCCCGAATTCCCGGAGATAAGTGGGGGAGGCTCCGTGGGGACGCTGCCCCGGGTGGAGCCCACACCCCGGGCTCAGAGCACCCCCCCCTCCCCGGCTGCCCGCCTCCGGCTGAGCTGGGGAGCTTGTCCTGGGTGGCTTCCCTCCCCCAGCCGGATCTGGGGGTGATCGGAGGAGACTGTGCGCTCTTGGGAGGGCAGAGCTGGTGGTGGCGCCCAGCGCTGGGGTCTGGAGGGCTGCGCTTCTGCAACTCTGTCCGCAGGACAGCTCGGCCACCAGGATAGCAGGTTTGAGAGTAACGTCGTTAAAAATAATAACAATAACCGCCGACTTTCTGCGTGCCGGTGGTCCTTCTGAGAGTTTTTGTGCGCGATTTTAGTGAATACTTTCGGGGACTCGGTGAGTTAGATCTGGTCATTGTCTCCCCGTTACAGGTGGGGAAACTAGGGCGCTGAGTGTGTGATGTGTCCAAGATCACTCTGCTGCCACTAAGTGGTGTGGCCAGGATTTGATGTTTCAATCTTTTGAACAGGTTCAATCTTTTGAACCTCTATGCTGTTGTCCTGTTGGGGCTGGGGACATGGCACAGGACCAGCAAATGGTCCCAACTCCAGGCTCCCAGGGGTCTGGTATGGGGAAAGGAACAGGGAAGCAGACCATTAGGTATCAGCCATCTCAGTCCTGGGAGGGGTGAGGCCAAGCTGCTGCCCCAAACTCTTCCCCATTAACCTTCTCTGTGTTTCTTGAAGAGGGAAAACAAAACAAGACAAAAAACTGATCTGTCTTCTCTGACATCGCCCATCTCAGAAGGAGTACCTCAATCTGAGTACCCCTTCTATTGAATAATTCCCATGTCTCCTGGGGGAAATTCCCTGTCCCACACCTCTAGGATCCCTCCCAGGAGGGTATAAGCCATTCTGTGCATTGTCACTGTATGATCACCTATGGTTCTGGGACAAGCGGCTTCCCCTCCTGAGCCTTATTATACCCTGGGTTCGCTATCCAGCTGTGTGGGCGGCTCCTAAGGGGAACTAGCTGTCAGCACACAGAGATGGACCTGTCTCTTCCCAGCTCTGGTTTTGTGAGCCTCCAACAGACACTGTTTCCGAAAGCAGCAGCCAGCATCCCACTTCATAGGTGAGACCCAAAACCCAGGGTCTGAGCGAGACAAACACAAAGGCCAGCAGCTATGGTGAGAGCAGGCGCTGATTTTCCTGCCAGACTGAAAGGCACCTGGCAAAGAAGCAGGCGCTGACCTCTGGCTGGCTCTTCATATAAGTAGCTGGTCATGTTTGCCTCCCACCACGGCTCTTGGGGCCTCTCTCCAGGGAATTAAGGGTAAGGGAAGGGGCTTTTGCAAACGGGAACTATACTGTTCTATTCTGTTAACTCTTGCTGAAGCAAAGGGACTGATCCCAGAAGACAGAGCTTATGTCTGCCCTTTTCATAGGTAAATCCTCAGTGCCCAGCATAGTATCCTAAATAAGTTATTGCTGAATGAATGAGCTGACAAAAGATGTGTGGAGGGAGAGCGTTGAGACATTATCTTTCTTCACTTACTGGTAAAAGAATGTCTGCCTAGTAAATTTAAAACCAGGTATTTAATTAATAATTTTCCTTCCTTACCTACCAATCCAAAATAGTGTGTGTGTGTGTGTATATGTGTGTGTGTGTGTATATGTGTGTGTGTATATATATATATATATATACATATATATATATATATACACACACACCCATATATAAAATTTGTAAATCTCCACCCAAATTGAGGATTGGGTTGCTCGAAAACTCTGTCAAGAGTATATATTCAGAAAGTGAAAATGTTGAAGCTACTTTTTAATGAAAGAAGCATCACCTGCAGTGCAAATAGCTCTGGGTTCTTAGTCTTGTGCTACTTGCATCAATGCTGATGAAAACTGAAGCATTTTGAAATAATAAATGTCAAGACGAAGGCCAGGAAATTGATTTACAAAGCCAGATACACTAGTCTGTTCACTGTTGGAGCTGTACACACACACGCACGTGTGCACAAGCTCGTTGGCCTAACTCACTGCAGACTCCCTACTCCCTGCAGGTTGCTCAACAAGCCAGTCAGGCTTGGGGAGCATGGAATGCAGCCTTGCAAACCCTTCTCTCCCAGGGGAGAAGGGTTGTTGGAATAGGTTTGTGAGGGTTGCCCATGGCCCCTTCCTCCTTCCTCTTTGGTGTGGGATTGGCTGGCCCAAGATGCTCGTTGATGAGAAGTTTAAGCTTGGGCACCAGAATGACTCATTCTTATTTTTATGAATTAGTTGATGGTCTCTTGGAGGAAGGCCCCCCTTTTAGCTGTTCTTTATTTTTAATGGAAACCTTTTACCATCCAATAATATAGGCACTTTGCTGGGGAATAAAGTGAAGAGCATCTAAGCTAGTAATAATCAGATCTGAAAGGAGGGTTGGGGTTGGTTCCTCTATCGATTTTATGGCAATGGAAGAGAAGCAGCAGGGGAAATCTGGTTTTATCTCCTTTAACTTCTTCATTTAGGATCCAATGAGATAGGTATTATGGTAAAGCAAGTTGAGGCTGGGGGATGGTAAGTAATTTGTCAAAATCATCACACAGAGAGAGCTAGGATTTGAAGGCTGGTCATTATCTCCTTAAAATTCTGTTGTTTTCCTTTTATTCTATGTTGTCTCCCTCCATGGGAAAGGCACCAGAAATGTGATTCACCTTTCTGACCTTTGGCATGTAAGCCTACTTTCTTTCCTTACATCAATGAATGTGGCTCCTTCTATCTTTTTATGTCTGGTTTAAGGGAAAATATCTGGCTCTTTCCAGAGTAATTTGACTTTTCCCTAAATGAAGGCATGATAGTCAAATGCAGCTCAAAAACAGTCATGCAGGGAAGTGGGAGGCATAGCAGAGCTTTCTGCCTGAATAGTTACAGGAACATCAGCTTTGATGAAGAACTCATTTCAAGTATTCATGGTTTCAGAGGCCAAGTGGGAAGAGCATGTGTCCTTTGGAGAAAAATGGACCTGAAAGTCACATTTCAGGTCACCTTTCAAGTCACCTTTCACAGAAAACCAAGTTTTCTGTGCCTCAAATGCAAAATGGGCATAAAAGATAATGTTATGATGTTGTTGAGATCAGATGCAAGACACACTGCTCCACTGTTGGCACTCTATAGTAGTAGTTATGGCTGCCTTCACTGTTGTCCCCTGATGCTGATAGGACATATATTTCTGGGTCACCTGATCATGTAGAGATCATCATTTTAATCAAGTATATAGCATAACAGTATCATGTCACATCTGCTTCGTGATGAAGAGGGAGATCTCGTTAGATGTGAGTCCCAGCTCTGCCACTTGCTAATTGGATGTCTTAGGGCTGGTCCCCACAGGCTGTGCCTGAGTCAGGTAGGCATGCTTCTTTAAATACTTAACTGGCCTCCCCGGTGGCGCAGCAGTTGAGCGCCTGGCTGCGAAGCTGCCCGCAGCCTCTGCAGCGTGGTTGGATCCTCGGCCAACTGGTGAGGGTCCCACATGGCGCACAGACTTCTCCTGCTGCCCGCTACTCCCCTCAGCAGTGTGTTTCATCAATTTTCCTGTTCTGTTCCCCGCGCTGGCTCTGGTGAATTTTCTTACCCTCCTGTGCTTCTGCCTATAACAAGTGCTTGTATAAATAAATAAAATAAATCTTAAAAAAAATAAATACTTAACTGAGGGTGCTTTCAAGCGCAAAGGTGCTAGGGAAGTGGGATAAGGAAAGGGAAGGAGCAAGATTTGGTCTCAACTGAATCCACCAGGAGGTCTTATGCCACAGAGGCCATCTGACCTTGAAGCAAAGGGGGGCAGCTTTTGTGCCCTCCTCCCCTGTGGTCATTCTGTTGTGGGCTGCTTGCTGAGTGGGGACAGGGAATAAGAAGTGGCCTTTGTTTAACTGAGGACAGCTCCTCATGGAAGAGACGCACAAAGCCCAAACAGTGCCCTTCACCCGGCTGACCTTGAACCTGCTTTTCACACTAAACTTCAGTTTCCTGGTGTATGAAGTGGAGATACTCATACCACCTTCTTTCACAGTGCAGTGATGGAGTTTATGTTAGATCAGTGCACCCAGACCTTTTTGATGCTGCCTGGCACATAGGAAGTGGTTAGTAAATTAGGGTGGTTCTTATTCAGATTGTTATTTTCAGTTTCCATAGATACTATGTATAGTTTATCATTCAAAATGGGAACTTGTTTGAGAGTGAAAAGGGCACTACTCATAATTACTTGGGATAGCAGGACAAATTGGAAGTGTCCTGGGCAAACCAGAGTGTGCAGTGCCCGTCACCAATAGGTCTGAGCCTTTGCTGCCAGCAGTTTTTCCATAGTGGAGCTCCTCCTGCCAGGACCCAGTAGGGTTTAAGGCCAAGGGTCTCTCGGTTGGACTGCAGGAATGTATTTAAGTGACCATTAACAGGCCTTGTCTGCTTTGTGGCTCAAATTGGCTTGAGGTAGAGAGGCACTAATGGATTGGGGACACTTATTTTCCCAGACTGATTTACAATGAGAGGCCACGTGAAATTGCTGGAGTGGGACCAGTTGGATGAGAAATGGCTGATCTGAATGTGGGCCGAGGGCAGGCCACACTAGAAGGAAGTCAGCAGATGGGTGGGATTCTAATATATCATGAGGGAAGGAACCTTTATTGAGCACTTGTTGTGAGCAAGAAGCTAAGCTGCCTATTCTCTGTTCTTTGTTTCATTTCATCCTAATACCAAGTCCACACAGTCAGTATTATCATCTCCATTTTAAAGATAGGGAAACCAGCAATCAGACCTGTTAAGATCTCAAACTGCTAAGTAGAAGAACAGTGTACAAATCCCAGTCTGCATTGTTCCTGGACTCTACATTTGGAAGTCAGGGGATGAGACAGGCGCAGTGACAGAAGCTATGCATGTGTGCACATGAGAGACACAAAGAGAGATCAAGAG